CGGGCGCTGGGCAGGTACTGGACCAGGCGCGGGCTAGGTACGGGGCCGGTCGTTGGGCGCGGAACGGAGGCCAGGCGCGAGGCTAGGTACGGGGCCGGGCGCTGGGCAAGGGACGGGGCCGGGCGACGGGCTAGGTACGGGCCGGTCGCGGGCTAAGTACGGGCCGGGCGCGGGCTAGGTACGGAGCCAGGCGCGGGCGAGTTACGGGCCGGGCGTTGGGCGCGGAAGTGAGGCCGGGCGCGAGGCTAGGTACGGGCCGATCGCGGGCTAGGTACAGGGCCAGGCGCGGGCAAGGTACGGGCTGGGCGCGGGGCTAGGAACGGGGCCGAGCGCGGGCTAGGTACGGGCCGATCGCGGGCTAAGTACGGGCCGGGCGCGGGGCGACGAAGTCGACGGGGCCAGCGGGGCCGAGGGGCACAGCTAGGGGCGACGCCAAGGGGCGACGGGCCGGGGCCTAGGCTAGCAGGGCATTAGGTGGTGGGCCCATTAATGTGAGGTCCTAGGAACGACCTACTCTGATAGCATGTTAGAATCCTAGCGTGACTTAGGAGCCATGGCTAGTGAGTGTCGAGAGAATTGGAAGGAGAATGTCGAGAGGAATGAATGCACTAGCAAGAGTTGGGATACAAATACAAAACCCTAAATTGGGTTGTACTCACTATAGAGTACCCCACTGCAGGCTAGACAGCAAATACATTCTGACACGAACGGTGGAGGTTGATGATCGACACTGCTATCTAGACGGTCCGGCCGTCTAGCGGCGTCGCGTCAACTGGCAATTTCAGAATCTCTGGCAAGCAGGCTGACTGCTCTCGTGAAAACGGCAAGGATCTGGCACGACATTGATTCTAGAGAGGTCATAAACGAGGGGGTGGATCGTACTGGCAGTAAAATTGATGCGTCCAATGCAGATAGTTCGAATCTATGAGAGTGCGCTGTCAGGCCCTGGGCGATAGTGTGTTATACTCGCAGCGACCGCATGGGACGCTGGGGATTCGGGTGCACTTAGCAGGCTTTTCCTGGACAAGGATCTGGGCCATCCTCGAACATCACAAATGTCGGGTGTGGCAGATCGGGAAAACATCGACCGAAAAAACATCGGGACAGCTCTCATTTAGATTACCTAATCCACGACCAAATTGATGAAATTCGGGGTGGGGATGTTTTCAAAGCAGGCTAAGGGCGTGTCTCTTTTTTGATTTTTTTTTGTTTTCCCGGACAATCCACTTGTATCGAAACGGACGGTCCCAATAGCGGGTACCGGACAGTCCGTTTCGAAAATTCGAAACTTCAGACTGTCCGAAGGCAAAAACTTCACTTTTCTCTACTTCAGAAACTACCAAAGTACTGTGGCCTCGCTAGAGCTACTGTACCCTCGTAACCTCAGTCACACACTCTCGCCAATTTCACTCACCCCATGGCGGCTCGATTTCAAACATTCACAACCACCCAGCACACCACACAACTCAATACATTGAAACCAGCACACAAACAGACATATACCCAGAGCACATACACACTACTCACGTAGTTTCACCATGTCTAGGAGGCTGCTACTCTCTGTACTTCACTTGTTATAGAGAGGGTACCAGGAGTTCATCGTTAGGCCAGCCATTGACCAACTCGCTGAAGTGATATTGCTGCTAGAAGATGATGACCGTAACATTATGCGACGCGACCGTGAGAACCAGAGAGCGCGGTGGGATGTTCTCCTCGGGGCTATGCCCAACCACATTTTCATGGAGACGTTCTGAGTTAAACGGCGATCGCCGCAGCCGTCGATGTAACAGACGAGGGAATCGCCGTGACTGGTGCCGGACGACGCACAGAGGTGGTGGTGGGAGGCGTCGCTGTAGGCGTCGCAGTGGTGCTGGTGCGAACCGTACGCCCTCCACCGCCGCGACCATTTAACCCAGTGTCTGCAAGCACAGGGGGGATTGTACTCGGGCGCTCACCCCATTAAGTCCCGCCGAGGTGATACCAAGCAGGGAGACCAGTTGCGCGTCCCGCCCCGGATCGCTTGATGCGATCGTTGATCTTGCGTCACTGCTCCTTCATGCGATTGTATTTCACCTTGAGTGCGGATACATCGTGACGCCAAGAGGGATTCTGCTCCAGAAGCTCTTGCTGGATTAACGGGTACCAACTGCGGCCTTGCTACCCAGTGCGCGCCCGGATCTGTGCCTGCCGGGTGATGAACGCGGCTAGGACCTCGCATTCTTCTTCGGGGGTCCAGCGAGGGAGAGTCCTGCCTGTAGATCGGCATGAAGGAGCTGTAGTTTCAGCGGTCGGGGCTGTCTCATGCTCCGTTTGCTCCTCCTCTACCTCGCCGAGAGTTGCGGCGTTGTCCATGTCAGCACCGAGACTGTAATCGTCGTCGGCATCGTAGGAGGTTGTGGGGGAAGGGATCTGGTAGACCCACCAGTCAGCTGGAGTGACGGTGGTTGCGGTGGAGGGCTGAGTGTTGGCGAGATTCTGAGCAGGGATCTGGGACTCGTCTGTCTCTGGCAGATCTGGAGCAAGCGGATGTTCAGTAGGGGGACTTGGACTAGAGGTGTTCGGGGTGGTGTTGGCCGGTTCAGAGTTGTCACCTGCGCTAGAGTTTTCCATTGCAGGCTGGTTGTGTGGGTTCAGTTCGGATGGCTGGGGGCTTTGTAGTGTTGGTGGGCTAGGGGGTGATGCGATCGTTCAATGTTCAGGCGCGTGTCGCGGGCTAGGCTGAAATTGACCATGCGGCTCGGTTTTTGTTTTTCGAGTAGTTCGCGCGACAATCCAGTGTCATAACTGTGCATCCGTCCGTTTGCAATTCGAACTGCCAAAATTTCAGAATGTGAACCGTTGCTTGGAGGGAAAAGTGACGCGACAGGTCGGACCGTTAGCGATGTCGCCAATACCTTCACGAAACAGTCACGACAAATGGCGAAACGAGTAACATGTTCGCAAAGCGGACGGTCCACGGTTCGAACCGTCGGGAGCAAAAAGGAGACACGCCCTAACGCAATCGAGTAGGTTTCCGCGTGATAAGACTGTTTTCACTGTGGCGGACATCAAAAGAGTAGTTTGCGCGGTCGCTGTACCCTATGCCACACCCGTAGCTTCCGTAATGCTCTGCAACCATTGGCAATGCACGGTACCGTACTACAATATTCAGTGTCGTTTTTCATTATTGTGATTGAAATATACGTTTTTTAATCGTTTAAAATGCTAACTTAGGCGTCAATCACCGTTTCTGCCATTCTTGTCTTAACCTCGTGTTTTTTTCTACGAAGTCAAAATGCTAGTTGGCATTGTGGTACACTTGGCAGCAAAATTTGTGGGTAGGTGAAAGACTCAATACCGGGTGTCACTGGATCCCCTCAGCATTGCGACATGGAGTCGGCACCTGCAAGATCCTGTCCAAATTTGCCAAGAAAACAAAGTCATTCCAGCTGGCTTCGACAAATTCCATTTTCACGTCGCCAAACCCGAGGAGCTATGGCTTCTAGATTACGCGGCCCCGGGCCCCAGCTGCCCTCTTCTAACGGGAATTGCCAGGGACCACGTCCGTCATGTGGGGTCAAATCCACAGCGTATCACGCGCATTTCCTCCTAGAGTGCGACCACGAGACAAATCATGACGCCGTGATGCGTCAGACAGCCTATCCTGTCCACAAGTCATCGGTCGCACCAAAAGCTCCGCCATGGACGCTTGAGCGGCGAACTTACAGTCACGCCTTCGCCGACCAATTTGTTTACAGGCGGATCTTACCTGATATGCACTTACTGCTGTTGTGGCTTTTGCCTCTGTCGGAAGCAAAGAGCCATGAAGAGTTCTGAGTCAGCAAGAAGATGATCCAGCCTGGATCATGCACAGCAAGGCAGTTGCCTCAATTTCGGGCGGCACAATGCTTCTAACAGCTAAACTCGCCACTGCAACTTGGTTTCGCGTCAGGGGAAGGACGCTACGCTCTTCTAGTAGATCTACCCCAGGTGGCTGTTCGACTTATCACGTGGCTCTCCCTGGTCATATCCCCGCACCGCGTTGTGCTCCCCGAGAAATATCCAGGACGTAGAAATCACGTGGTCCACGTACTAGAAAGTTCTCAGGAAAGAACAAATGCCAGCCCGCATCCCGAGTCGCCAGTCAGACGAGGATTTCTGGTGGGCCGATCTCATTTGATCCCGCCTCTTGCGGACAAATCAGCTCCAGCTGGACAAACAAATGGTCTGGTTCCCCCGACCGGGGAAGAGACCGCTGACGGTTCGGAGCGACTATAGCGAATCCATCGGACGATTTTCTGGCCACGACGGTCTCAAAGGTTCATACGCGCTCAAACAGTAAAACACGGGCGAATGCGGGATCGCTTCCGCGTGCTCGCGGAAGCGATCTGCCCGCGGGCAACAAAAAAACTAAAACCCAATCGGAAGGCACGCGATTCGGGAGGCATCAACCCTAAAATTTTAGGGTTGAGGCTCCCGAATGGCATGCAGTTCGCGATGGGGAATAGTTTTTTTGCCCCGGGCAGCTCGCTTCCGCCCATGGGCGCACCTGGTGGGTTCGAAACCCACCAGGAGAGGCACCTGGTGGGTTCGAACCCACCAGGGCTCGGATGGACTCGGGATGAGCTTTCGGACCTGAATTGTGGCCGGAATTCGAGGGTAATACTAAATCTCTCCGCCTGCTGAATTGCGGTTTTCGATTGCCCCGTGGCTTCCCAGACAGGCTGATTCTGAAGAAGCCGAGGTTTTATTATAAACTGTGGGTATTCCAAGACGAGATATTAGTTTGGCTCGATTCAAGTCTCGGAGAAGAGAAGCCGATCTCTGAGGCCTAGAGTTCCTAGTAGTATCCCGTTCATTAGATATTGAGAGCAAACCAGCCGCAGGTTCTGAACTTTAGTCTTCTTTCGTGAGCTAGCCACGGTGTTGCTTTCAGCTCATGCTAAACCCTCTTACACTCTCGTATTTGTTTCCAAACTATGGTTATGCGTTGCCATCAGCCGTTAAGTCCTCACGCTACAATGGTAGGAGACACATCCATGGAGGCGGCAATTGCGGATTTGGAGGTTTGCCACGCGTCGCTGAAGCACCAGATGACTAAGATTCAGCTGGTGAAGGAGCAGTTACGTGAAAAATGGAAGCAGAGTAACGAGGTATAACACCTCTCGCCGATTCCTGCGAGCAATACTTCCTAGACAAACATCTCTATCCACGTAGACATTAAACTGAGTTTATCTTGAACCATCACGCTCGTGTCCTCACCACACTTCAGCAGTTTCCACATAATATTCACTTGAGCTTCGTTTCATGCAATACTGCACACTCCACATCGCATCCTTAATTCGGCAATTGCCTCCCAACCACTCCAACACACATGGATAACCGACTGGCCCATTACAGACGGCAAGAGCACCGTGATAACCTTTCTTTCTGTCACCGTCTTCTTTAACCTTTTCCCTTGCAGGGGGGCCAGTGCTGGGCGGGCAACTCCCCCCTTACCAAGAAGTCAGGGGAGGTGTTTGACGCCATGATTACCGATCGGCCCGTAATCGACAACAAGGGAAACGTGAGCATGATCGTGGGAGTGCCAAGCGACAGCCAGCCGTTCAAGGAGCAGGTTCGAGCGTTCATCGGCAGCTGCAGCAGCAGCATGCACGTCAACACGTCTGTCGGCCCTGTCTCCGCCGCCTCTCCTGCTGCTGCTGCTGCTGCTGCTGCTGCTGCTGCCTCCGTTCGCCCTGCTGCCTCCTTTGGCACTGCTGCTTCCACTCCTGATAGCATCCCATCGCCCTCCACGCCTCTCCAGAGCATCCCATCGCCAACTGCAGCAGAGGACAAGGCAGAGCGTCAGCAGGCAGCAGCAGGCCTCAAGCCCCTCCGTTGGTCAAGCCCGGACAGATCAAGCTCCTTCTCAGCCTCCCAGAGCCAATCCGGGGTCGTCTCAGCCTCAGCATCTCCCACAAACCTGCTTCAGCTCAACCTTCTCAGTCACTTGGATGGCTCATCAGAGGGCGACGCTCACTCACACTCACCTCTCAGGCGGTTCCCCTCGGGAATCCATGGGTTGGAATCTGAGGACCAAGCCATCTACTGCTTCCTGGGCGATGGAACCATAACCATGTGGTACGTGAAGGGTTCAGGGGGGTCTAGTGCGGTTCTCATCGGGAATACATGGCTTGGAATCTGAGGACCAAGCCATCTACTGCTTCCTGGGCGATGGAACCATAACCATGTGGTACGCGATGGGTCCCTCTTTTTTTTTTGGGTTTTTGTTTGCTCATTTGCTTGTCAAGCATTTTCGGGCAGAATCATACCAGTCTTTGTCATCATCATAGGTTCTTAGTCCTTCGTGATTCACCGTTGTGAAGTTAAAGCCTCCTGGTTCCACCTGCTCTTTTCCGCACCATCTGTGCTTGCTGTCTGCAGGAACCCAGGGTTAGATAAGCTGTTTGGGTATGCAGCAGAAGAGGCTTTGAGGCGGATTTTGCCATTTAAATGCTAAAAGTAAAACTTCAAATACATTTTACTCCCCTTGGTTCCATCTGTTTTTTTTGTTTTTCTTGTCCTTTCTGTCTGCAGGAACGCAGGGTCGGAGAAGCTGTTTGGTTACACAGAGGAGGAGGCAATGGGGCGGAACATAGTGGAGCTGCTGTGCTGCAAGAAGACGAGCCACGCCGCCTTTCAAATCATTGCACGCCTGCAGGTCAGTCAGACAGACCACCAAATCGCACTTTGTCCGTGGTTACTCCTGCCATGGCTCGCTGATATCCTTACTCGTGCCGGCCCATTCTTGTTCAGATAGGAGGTGCTGGAGCTGGAGGACCGATAAAACGGACCGATAAAACGGACCGATAAAACAGACCGATAAAACAGACCGATAAAACAGACCTCAAGAATGACGGCCATGGAAGTGCCACCTTTGAAGTGTGATCACCTTTGTGCCTGCCACCTCCCTTGCCTTCTTTTCTCCGTGTAGGTGGGGCAGTGTTGGACAGGCAACTTCCCCCTGACCAAGAAGTCAGGGGAAGTGTTTGACGCAATGATTACTGATCGGCCTATTATCGACAGCAAGGGCAACGTGAGCATGATTGTAGGGGTGGCGAGTGACAGCCGGCCGTTCAAAGAGCAGATCCAAGCTTTCATCGGCAGCTGCAGCAGCAGCATGCACGTCAGCACGTCCCTTGGCCCTGTCTCCACCGCCTCTCCTGGTGCCGCCGCTGCTGCCGCTGCTTTTCATTCTGTTGCTTCTGCTCTCCCTGGTGCTGCTGCTGCTTCTCCCGTTGGTGCTGCTGCCTCCTTTGGTGCCGTTGCTTCCACTCCTGACGGCTTCCCATCGCCCTCCAGGCCTCTCCAGAGCATCCCATCACCAACGGCAGCAGAGGACAAGGCAGAAGACAGGGCAAAACACCTGCAGGTAGCAGGAAGCTTGAAGCCCCTGCAGCTGAATGTGACCACGGCACCATTGCGGCCGATCCGAGTTCCTGAAAACGCGATCGTTTTTGCAACTGCAAACGCAACTGGAGGTGCTCCTTCCCGCGTGGCTCGTGTGGCCTCCCGGCTTTCTGCTGCTCCTCTGCGTTCTCCCTCTCAGTCCCGCACTGCTGCTCTGCATGTCCCCGCTTTGGACCGCACTGCACCTCCGCAACTGCCCTTGTTAACCCGTGCTGATGAGGCTGATCAGACAGTGCCACTGGCAGACCTGGTTGCTCGTGGCTCTGAACCCCTGAATTTCCAAGGAGGGTTAGGGGACGGAGGAGACGCAGTAGCAATGGCGTTTGATTTTTCGAAAGGAGAAGCAGCAGTGCCATTTGACTTGAGTGCAGAAGGGGGGGCAGGAGAAGGAGAGGTAGGCGTGCCATTTGAGTTTGATGTGGAGGGCGAGTCTGCTCACGCAGAGTGCCAGCACCCCTGGCAAATACCTTTCGCTTCAACGGTCTTGTCCCTGGTAAGCTTTATGTTCCTTGTAACCCCCTGCTTCTTTTAACCCCGTTCTTCCTGATAAGTAGCCCCGTGGAGTGGCAGCACCCCTGGCAAATACCCTTCGCTTCAATTGCCCCGTCCCTGGTATTATTCATGATCTTCTGCTTCCCTGTCCCTTGGGAAGGTGTGCAAGAGCCACCGCCCACACACACTCTCTTATGTTTCTCTCCTCATTCCTCATTCATGTACCCATGTACCACCTTCATTCCGCTCCCAGGCTGGCAGGGTGGCGCAGCCAATTGGGCAGGTGCGCAAGCGCCTCTCTCCCACCAGCTCCAATCACCACACGCAAACACTCAACTGCTTGTCTCCTCATTCCTCACATATGTATCCCTACCCATCCGCCTCTTCCCCGCTCCCAGGCTGGCAGGGTGGCGCAGTCAATCGGGCAGGTGCGCAAGCGACTCTCCCCCACCAGCTCCACGGTTGTTTCTCAAGCCCACCTCCACCTCCCAGAATCCATGTCACCGCAGCAGCATCTCCCACTGCCACCATCACCACCAGCAGCAGCTTCTGTCACCCATATCTCTTCATCAGAAGCTCGTTTGCACGGGGGCGTGCAGGGGATGGTGATCCAGGGAGGGAGGAGTCCGAAGGCGAGCAGGCTGAGTCCGGAGGGTGACAGGCTGAGCCGTCACAACAGCGGCTCTGGAAGCTCCTGCAGCACCTTGAGCACTGCTGCCGCGCCTGCTGCTGCTGCTGCTGCTGCTGCTTGTGGCGCTGCTGCTGGTGCTGCTGCTGGTATTTGGAACGGTGGCGGGAGTGACAGCGCTGATATCAGCAGAGGTTTCAAAATTCCTGCTGCCAGGCCTCGCCTGGAACTTGAAAGTACGGCTCTGGATGCTTCTGTAGTCAGTGCTGCCACTGCTGCTGCCACTGCTGCAACTGCTGCTGCCGCTGCCGCTGCTGCAGCAGCTGCTGCTGCGGCTGCTCATGGTGCTCTCTCTGCTTCCTCTCTTGAACCAGCTGCTTCTCCCCTGCCCACTCTTGCTCCTCCAACGTTCCGTCCGGTGCACTCCCCACCTGTTCCTGCCGGTGCTGCTGCTCCTCCTCTGGTTGCCACTGCTGCTCCAGCTGCTCTTGCAGCGGCTGCGGCGACAGCTACTGCTCCTGGGGCTGGTTCAGGGGCTCCTGTCTTGGCCCTCACGTCTGCCTCCTTCCTCCCATCCTCCGCCTCTCTCCTCTCGCTCTCGCCCTGCAGTCGCCCCTCCTTTGCTCCCACAGCACATGTGACTCAGTTCGCTCCCTTGCAGCCTGAAACGTCCCCTGCTGCTGCTGATGCTGCTCCTGCTGCTTCTCCTTGGCACGGTTTTGGCTTCAATTCTGGTATTGCTGGTGATGCTGGTCCGGACAGTGGTGTTGGTGTCGGTGCTATCGTGCCTAGTGGTGCTCGTGCTTCTGCTGCTCTGGCAGCTGCAGCTGCAGCGACAGCGTGCCATGCGCACATGGAGGATCTGATTCTGGCGGATACTCCCAAGGACCAGGGCGGCATGGCCGGCATGGGCGGCGCGGGCGGCGCAGGCATCGTGGGAGACATGGGTGACATTGCAATGGGGTTTGTGAACGGGACGGATAGGTGGGGAGGGAATATGAAGTTCCTGGAAAGGCAGCAGGGGGGTGTGAGCATGGGGGGGCAGGACCAGAGGGGGGCACCCTTTGAGTCGCCTCTCAGGAGGTTCCTGGAGAGGCAGCAGGGCGACGTGAGCATGGGAGGAGGGGAGGAGCAGAGAAAGGCTCTGGCGCAGTGGCAGAGTATTGCAGAGGGTGAGGGGGGTGGGGAGGGCGGTGGGGGTGCAGGGAGGGAATTGCGGGTGGAGCGGGAGCAGGGGAACAGGGAGCGGCAGGAGAGGGAGCGGCAGGAGAGGGAGCGGCAGGAGAGGGAGCGGCAGGAGAGGGAGCGGCAGGAGAGGGAGCGGCAGGAGAGGGAGCGGCAGGAGAGGGAGCGGCAGGAGAGGGAGCGGCAGGAGAGGGAGCGGCAGGAGAGGGAGCGGCAGGAGAGGGAGCGGCAGGAGAGGGAGCGGCAGGAGAGGGAGCGGCAGGAGAGGGAGCGGCAGGAGAGGGAGCGGCAGGAGAGGGAGCGGCAGGAGAGGGAGCAGCAGGAGAGGGAGCGGCAGGAGAGGGAGCGGCAGGAGAGGGAGCGGCAGGAGAGGGAGCGGCAGGAGAGGGAGCGGCAGGAGAGGGAGCGGCAGGAGAGGGAGCGGCAGGAGAGGGAGCAGCAGGAGAGGGAGCGGCAGGAGAGGGAGCGGCAGGAGAGGGAGCGGCAGGAGAGGGAGCGGCAGGAGAGGGAGCGGCAGGAGAGGGAGCGGCAGGAGAGGGAGCGGTTTTGGGAAGATGGGGTTGCTCGGTGGGAGATTCGGTGGGAAGACATTCAGCTGGGGCAGGAGGTGGGGCATGGTGAGTCGCTTTTCATATCTGAATAGTTCTATTCTAAAAGCCTGTGCACCTGGCCCCAGTTGGGGCTGTGCTGTGTGCGCCTATTCTGTCAGTCACATCCCTTTCACCCATGCATGCCACTGTCACTTCCTCTCTCACTGCGTCGTCTTCTCTCCTTGCCATGTATGCGCCAGTGATGATGTTTGTTTGTTTGTTTGTATCGTACCTGTGCATTACTGCAGGGGCGTGTGGCACGGTCTATCACGGCACCTGGAACGGCTCCGTAAGTGCTCCTCTATTGACACTTCCCCATTGCCTCTGCAACATTTTTACCGTTCATTACTAGTATTATGAAGCTTCTTTCGGCACCTGGGCTCCGTGAGTGCTTCACCGTGTTCTTTTCCAGAGCCTCTACTCGCCGTATGATTGCTCGTCTTTAGTTCCCATTTTGTTCTACTAGGGCGTATCTCAGTTCGGGTCATGGGCACTGTTTGGGTCATCCAAGATTCTTGGACGACCAATAAGGCGCGTTTTAGCTACACTACTGGAATATCATTGGTTCTCCCATGACCCAAAGTGTACAGTGATGATGACCCAAAGTAGCCTTATGACCCGAAGTGAGATACGCCCTTAGTCTGACCATCGTTTCTCCCCTGTTTTCCCTCTCTGTTTATCTCTGTGCTGCAGGATGTGGCTGTGAAGGTGTTTGCACGGCACGACATCAGCGCTGACTTCATGCACGACTTCAAGAAAGAGGTGTGTACGGGTTTTGAGACGCGTCGAAAATGAGATGCCTTTTGAGTCGTCTTAAAAAAGTGTTTGCACGGCAAGAAAGAGGTATGTACGCGTCTTAGAGGCACGACATCAGCGCTGACTTCATGCACGACTTCAAGATGGAGGTGTGTACCCGTTTTAAGGAAACTCAAACATGCGACAACTTTTGAGGTGCCTAAAAGATCGTCACACCGAAGGTGCTTCAATTGCATGGCATGCCATCAGTGCTGGCTCCCAATAGTGCTCACTCTATGCAGGACTCCAAGAGAAAAGCATATCTTCTCTAAAGTAGATGATCAGAGGTACTCTCGCTGACATAGACGGTCATCCATGTCAGGACGTGGCAGTGAAGTTTTTTTCCCCCTCTTCCCTACGTCTCCACCCTCCCCTTTTCACTCCCCCTCAGATCCGCATAATGGAGAAGCTGCGGCATCCCAACATTCTCCTATTCATGGCCGCAGTGGCCTCCTTGGACCACCTCGCCATCGTCACCGAGTTCCTCCCCCGCGGCAGTCTCTTCCGCCTGCTGCACCGCCGCACTGCTGGGCTTACACGTTTACGGCTTCTGCGAATGGCTCTTGATGTGGTGAGTGGCGTGCGTTGTCTTTACCTGGGTGTGGTGAGCTGCGTGCTTTGTCTTGACTCGCTGTCTGTGCTCTCCACCTGCCACGTGTCCCCTCAACCTGCCTTCTCTCCACCTGCCACGTGTCCCCTCAACCTGGCTGTGTGTTCTCTCCTCCTGCCACGTGTCTCCTCCACTTCTACAACTTGCCGTAACTGAACCGCTTTCACGTCCCCTATCCCTCCCCACTTGCTCTTTCCTCCCCCTCAGGCGCGAGGAGTGATCTATCTGCACAAGTGCTCGCCCCCCGTGGTGCATCATGATCTCAAGTCCGCAAATCTGCTCGTGGACAAGAACTGGACTGTCAAAGTAAGTCCTCTGTTTCGTGTAAAGTACATGTTTCCGCCTTTCATGCAAGCACAATGCATGAGTTGCATCAGCGGGGTGGGGCCAGGCAGATACCTGATGTGTAAATTCAATGGGGTGGGGTGCGACATATTTTGCTCTGAAAAATCATTCAGCCTGCAAGTCCCTTACTGACTTCATGTCTGTATTAGTGCCCCGTCCCCCCTGCCATATTCATTGCGATGCTGCTGTGGGTAGTCAGTATAGTCTTCCTTCCTAGTAATACCTGACTATGCTGGCATGTGTCTCCCCTCCTGTGTGACTGTCTGCAGGTGGGCGACTTTGGGCTGAGTAAGATGAAGCTCTCACGTACCTCTCTGCTTGCTCTGCCCAAGTAACGGTTCTTTTGGAGATGTCTCAAAAATGTATCTCCGCTGCTACCTGTCTGCCTGTGTGCCTCTCTGCGTGCAGGTGGGCGACTTTGGGCTGAGCAAGATGAAGTTCGCCACCTACCTCTCTGCTCGCTCTGGCCGTGGAACAGTGGGTCTCTTCCCGCTTCTTTTTATGCTTTTCATTTGTTGACGTGCTCTTTCTGAATGTTGCTCCTCATGCGCTGTGTGCCACTCCTCTCTCCTCTGCTTCTCTTTTTTCATTACAATGGTTCTGTGATTTTAGCTTGTCCCTTGTTCCTTGTTGGATTCTCGCAGGCCTTTTCCCTATTCCTCCCTCCCATCCACTCCCGCACTCTTTCCTCTCGTGCCCTCTCCGTCCCTCTCCCCAGCTCCCCGAATCTCATTGCTTCTTCCTCTTCCCATGTGCCCTTCCTCTTGGTGTTCTCTCCTTTCCCTCCCTCCCACCAGCCCCAATGGATGGCGCCTGAGGTGCTTCGCAACGAGCCATCCAATGAGAAGTGAGTCACGTGGTGTGCATGCATGCATCTCCATGTGTGTCGTGCTCCATGTGTGTCGTGCTCCATGTGTGTGCCACGCGCAGCTGTGCACACAGTCGCTTTCAAGCAGTTTCAAACTTGATGTCCATGCATGCTGTGCACTGATGTTCGAGTCTGTCAGTAAACTGAGTCCGTCTCTCCAAACCGTAATGTTCAGGTCCGTCATCCATGCTGTGATGGGTCATTCTACAACTCAGTCCCCCCATGTGCTGTTTTGACCCATGCCTTGCTTTCCCCATCCATGCAGGTCGGATGTGTACAGCTTCGGGGTGGTGCTGTGGGAAATGGCAACACGGCAAGTGCCCTGGGAGGGGATGAATCCCATGCAGGTCGTGGGGGCGGTGGGCTTCCTGGAGCAGCAGCTGCCTCTGCCTCCCTCCATCAACCCAGCCATGAGGCTTCTTATCTCCGACTGCTGGCGCAGGTACGGCTGGGGCAGGTGTGACTGGGACAGGTGGGAGTGAGTGATGGGGATTCTCGAGACAGGCTCATACAGCTGCCTCTGCCTCCCTCCATCGACCCAGCTATGAGTCTTCTCATCTCCGACTGCTGGCGCAGGTTCAGCTGGGGAGATAGTTTTCGGGAAGGTGCAATAATGGCTGATGCGACTGCAGCAGATGGAACTGGGGCAGGTGAAGTTGCTTGGTTGTTAGGCACTGCTTTGAGAATCAACACTCGTGTGCTGATCTTTGCCTATCTACTCACGCTCCTTGCTCTCTTGCTCCTCCCTGCCTATCTCTCTTGCTCCTCCCTCTCTCTCCTTCCTTTCCCCCCAGCCCTAACGAGCGGCCATCCTTCGATGAGATCACATCAAGACTGAAGATGATGGTACAGGAGCAAGAGCAGCAGCAGATGGATGGAAGGCGAGTGTAGATAATTAATGGAGCACCTGAGGAATCAGGAGGAGGGATACGTAATATCAGGTGGAAGGCAGGCCATCGTTTGAAGAGGGCAGCTCTAGACTGAAGACTGATGGTGCAGAAGCAAGAGCAGCAGGCGGATGGAAGACGGGCGTGAGTGACTGGTAAGGGGCAAAAATAGGTGGAACAGCAGGAACGATAGGAGCAGTAGGGATGGCAGGAGCAGCTGGAACTGCATGAACAGCAGGGATGGAGCTGTATAAGGCAGGCTATCTGTAGATGGTCAGACTGACTCAAAACACTTCTGCTGGTAGATCGCAGACAAAGGAGGGCAGGTTACAGGTAACTGCATATTAGTTTTCTACCTAAAAGAAGGGTAGAGAGAAAGGTATAGGTCTATCATTTAGTGTACATAGGCCATCCATGGATTGTTATGTGTTGGTAGTGCTTCCAGAAATTTCTGGATGCAAAAACTAGTTCTGTTACGTGTATGCTTTGCCATTGTAACATACGAAAGAGTTGAATCATTGATGTATCGAATGTGTTTCCAATAATGTTTCCAACCCTAAACAGCTTCTTGTGTTAATGTTGTAATTCTTGTTTACTTATGTGAAGCATGATTGTGGCTGAATCCATATGTGGTAAACCTGGCATAGTGAATGTGAGTTGGGCTGATGATGAGATAGGAAGTTTTGTGATGACAGGAATTGGTGACCTGTAGTCCTGCATACTGTATACATCGACTGCATACACTAATTTGCACACTGTAGAATCTAGGTTGTGCACATCCACTCCCATGCCATAATATCTCAATTAATGTATACACATTCACTGGCAAACTGTATCTTAATTGTATTCACTCATTGGCAAACAGTAGTATCACACATATTACACAGTATGCATTCAGAGAGAACACACCTGCTAAAGGGAGAAGCGGAATCCACCCACTTACCGACCAATACAGATACAATACATCAGCCCTGCACCCTCTGCCCTCTCGTCCCCCTTCCCCCCAAACGCACCAATACTGCTGCTTTCGCTCTAATGCTGCAACCCTGCTTCACGCACTCTGGTGAGCCTATCGTGCGGTCAAGAAACTGAACGAGAATGAATGCATTGACAAGAATCTGAGTACAAGTGCTAACCCTAATTGGGTTGTACCCTTTATGGGCTACCCCACTACAGCCTACACAATATAGGCATTATAACATTTTGACACACCCCCATATGCAAAGTGGGGGAGAACAAGTGGTCACAAGACCAGTCAAGAAAAAGGCAAAGCAAGCTCAGGGTGGATCATAAAGTCACCACACACTCTGAGCACGAGCAAATGGCCACAAGGCCAGTCCACATGCAGAGCTATATAAAAGAGAACAAACAGTACGGCGGTGATCATAACCTAGCAGGGGTAAGCATGCAGGTATATGTATATAGATCCAAGTACAAGCAAAGTCACGCGGTGAGCAACTGAGACAAAATAGGCACAAGGCCTACAACAGTACAGAAACGCTGATGATCACAAGGCTGAAGTACCTTGGTGAATATATCAACAGTGTTGGCCCGAGTGGCCACGTAAGCAAGACGAAGCTGACCACGCTGCTGCAACTCTTGAGCAAGGAAGTAACGTAGAGCGATGTGCTTCGTCCTGTGCTCCAGTCAGTGCTCCTTACACAATGCAATCATGACCTTGTTGTCTACGTACAAAACTGGAGGAGACCGAGGCAGCTCTCACAATTCGGTCAGCAGGTAGGTGAGCCAGCGTAACTCCTGTGTAGCCATGGCCCCTGCGTAGATCTCGGCCTCACAACTGTAACTGAGAACAAAAGACGAGCGGGTAGACTGCCAAGAAACAGAGCCGGAGCCAAGGCTGAAGGTGTAACCCTATGACGACTGCTGTGTAGCAAAGTCGTCAACCCAAGAAGCGTCTGCGTGTCCAGTGAGGACAACTGGACCCCGTCCTCCAAGCACGATCCCCATGCCCGATGTACTGCACAAGTAGTGCAACACCCTCTCAATGGCTTCCCAGTGCTCTGGTTGGTGTCTCTCGGGCGCAACATAGCGTGCCAGGAAGCTAAGAGGGTAGGCAAGGTCAGGTCGAGTGCACGTCATCAGGTACATGAGGCAGCCCACAAGCTCTGGATACGGGCCACTCGGCTCTACGGACTCGTCCGAAGGTGGAGCTGAGAGCGAGTGATCGGTAGGCAGAGGAGAGGACTGTGGCGAGGAGTACTGGAGGCAAAAGTGCTGAAGGACCTAGTGCACCATGTGTGACTGAGTCCGGGTGATGGTGCGCCGTGCTCTGTCCCGGGTGATCTGCAAGCCAAGATAGCTGCGCAACTCACCCAGGTCAGTGCAGGTGTGTCTCTTCTGCAGCTCCGACTTCACAAGGGCCGGTGCCTCAGTGTCAGAAGTGGCAAAAACCAAGTTGTCGACGTACACGAGGATGTAGAACGGCGGCAACGAAGTGTCGGTGCGCAGAAACAGCGACGGGTCAGCAGTCAAAGGAGAAAACCCAAGAGCCGCAAGCGTCGTCCTCAGTGTGTCGTGCCACTCGCGAGGCGCCTGGCGGAGACCGTAGACTGGCCGCCGCAGGCTCCACTGGGTACCTGCAGGAAACGACCCAGTGAAGTCGGATGGGCGGCGCATCCAGATCTCCTCGTGCAGGCTGCCCTGTAAGAAAGGTGTGCTGAAGTAAAGAGAGTGAAGCTCGTAGTCACGCTGAGCGGCGACGTGCAGCAGCACCCAAAGAATGGTCATATTCGGGGTAGGGGACAAGGTCTGGAAGAATTCAACTCCCTGTCGCTGACTAAAGCCTCATGCAACGTAACGAGCCTTGAAGACAAGTGGAGAACCCAGCGGCCGCTTCGCCTTGAAAATCCACATGCCATCGACTATGTTTGCCCCAGGAGGGGGAACTACGTCGACGTAAGTGCCTCTGGACTTCCAGGATGCCATCTCAGCGTCCATGGCTGTCTGCCACTTAGAGGAGTAGGGACCTGTAATCGCCTCTGCGTAAGAGCGCGAGGTCGGGATGTCTGGTGCATCCGGGTCTCCCTCAGGTGCAATCAGCATAGATAGGAGATGAGGTACAGCAGCTGCAAAACACTCAAAGTCCTCCTGCCTGTCCTCAAAGTTGTCCGTGCCAAGAGCACACTCACCCCCGACGGACGGAGGACAGTTAGACTCAGACTCAGCAACAGGACTAGCGGCGTAGTCGAGACGACATGCGGCAGCAAAGTCAACAAGCTCAGCAACAATGGCAGAAAACGACTGGTGCTGGCTGTAACTGTGGCTGCGACTGGTCAGGCGGTGGACACAGTAAAGGAGGAGTAAGGCCAGTAGAAAACGGGAGACTAAGAACCTGGCGACGTACCGAGCCAGGTGGCGGCAGAGACAACTACGACGGCGGAACGAAAATCGGTCACCGCTGCACAGTGCCTCCAGCGCCAGTACTACCAGCTCAAGCATCCCCAGTGCCAGCACCTCCCGCTCCAGTGTCTCCAGCTCTAGCGCCTCCAGCTCTAGTGCCTCCAGCTCCAGCGCCTCCAGCTCGAGCGCCTCCAGCTCCAGCGCCTCTAGCTCCAGGGTCTCCAGCTCCAGTGCCTCCAGCTCTAGTGCCTTCAGCTCCAGCTCCTCCAGCTCCAGGGTCTCCAGCTCTAGCGCCTCTAGCACCACCAGCTCCGGCAGCTCCAGTACCTCTAGTACGAGCACCTACAGGACCAGCAGCTCCAGCACCTCCGGTACCTCCAGCTCCAGCGCCTCCAGCACCAGCAGTACCTCCAGCACCTCTAGGACTAGCAACTCCAGTGTCTCCAGCTCCAGTGCCTCCAGCGGCAGGGCCTCCAGCTCCAGCAGCGCCACTCCTAAGGTGTGTGCGCCGAGGAAACCACTCACGCAGCTGCTGCGAAGAGAGAGGCTCCCTCTGGCGAGATTGCCGTGGGGAGGCACCCGTAGGACCTCCGACAGACGCAGTACCCCTAGGCTCAGCACCCCCAGACGTAGTACCCTCTGGCTCAGCACCCCCACGCTCCGCACCCTCAGGCTCAGCACCCCTAGGCTCCGCACTCTCTGGCTCAGCACCCCCAGACTCCGCACCCCAGGCTCAGCACCCCCAGGCTCCGCACTCTCAGGCTCAGCACCCCCAGGCTCCGCACCCGCAAGCTCAGCACCCCCAGACACAGCACCCCTAGCAGCACCACCCCCAGCAGCACCAGAGTCTACACTGACCTTGACACGCTCAGCCAAGGGGAGTGGGTCTACCTGAGACACACCTGAGGGAGCAGGACCCTGAGGGGGGAGGGGGTCTACCGGAGGGGGACCTGGAGCGAGGAAGAGCAGCGGGGTGGGAGGGAGAGGGGCAGTGCAGTAGGGGAAGAGACGGTAAAAGGGAATCGACCAGTCAAACGTGACGTCCTGAAAGGGCAAGACACGGCGCGAGGTGGGGTGGTAAAACTGCCAGCCAGGTGCATCAGGGGGAAAGCCAAGGAAGACACAGGGAATGGCGCGGGAGGAGAGCTTGTCCGCAAAAGTATCGCGGACAAAGGCACGAGAGCCCTAGACCCGGAACACCGACGCATCGCCAACCTCCCCCGTCCAACGCAGTGTAAGCGAGGTCTCCGGCAAGGAGACACGGGGCCAGAGGTTGAGCTGATGCGCAGCGTACCGGACCGTAAACTGCCACAGAAAATGGGGAGCAGCCGCATGGATCATGGAGGTACGAGCCACCTCCATGACTAAGCCAATGCGGCGCTCAGCAACCCCATTCTGCTGCGGAGAGGCCGAAAGCGTGAACGACTGGCAAATGCCCTCCCCACGAAAAAAGTCCCACAAGAGGTTAGAGGAGAACTCACCACCTCTATGAGAGTGCAGACGCATGACACGAAGGTCCTGGCGGAACCGCTCGCGGAGCTGGAGACGGACTGCGCGGATCCAAGGGATCAAGATATCAGGGACCTCCCTCTTGCTGCGTAAGGGGAAGACCGTGGTGTAACACGAGTAGTCGTCAACAACCAG